TTTTTTTTTTAAAAATAAGATGTAAGAATTCGAATTTATGCGTAAGATAATACATATAAAATGATGATTAAAGAAGAAACTTATATACATTCATTGCTTGGACCAAATAGGATGGTCTCAAATTTTCTATGAAACATCCAAGGAAGTGATGAAATATAATAATAGTAATAATAAAAATTTTTTTTTAAAAAAAATATATAGTATAGATAATATAAGATAAAAACGAAACAAAAAGGTAAAAATAATAAAAAAAAATGTTTATACATAAAAAAAAATAGACATAAATACATGGTTTCCTTCAAAACCAACAATACGTTTGTTTTATTTTTTACAAAAGGATTTAAATATAACCCTTAAACAGCTTAAAATATTTTTGACATGACTTGTGATTGAATCGGGATCAATCATTTTGAAGATTGATCTCGATTGAACCTTTCATTTCATGTCAAACAAATTGTTTTGTTTTTATAGAGAAATTAATGTAGAAACCCATAAACTAATCAAGAATAAATCTTGATCGATAGAATGAATATTAACGGACGTGACAACTACGCCAATCCCTCCAAGAAATTAAAATTACGTTTCGAAAAGGATTCACTGAGAATACGAAAACGCCCGCGTATGCACCCAGCAAATAATAAATTATTCTAAGGCGAGTAATTATAGTTTTGAAAGTTTTTGATCAATAATTATATTTACATTCACACATCTACAAGTTAAAAAGAAAGAAAGAAAGACATTCATGATTAGACGTTGAAGGAATACTCCATCGTAATCTTATTTGTGATAAATCATCATGATGGAATTCTTACCAAATCAATTAGAAATTGTAGCCTGACGACAATTTCGCATTATGGGGATGTGCAATGGAATTGCCGTCTTTTGAGGATGACCGGAAGGAATGCCGGTTGAAATATTAGAATGAAACCCTGACGGAATGTGTGATGGAGGTGTAGTCGGTCGGGAACATTTTTGTGGCCAAGATGGGGTTCTTGGCCTTGATTGCAATCTACTATTTAACGGTGTTACAGGACTATTGATTGAATTTGGTGAGGAATAATTTCCGGAAGCAGTATTAGGTCTAGAAGGTAATTGGGAAGTTTTGCTTTGTGATATCAAGCTAGGACTTCTCGTAGGAACGAGCATTCTTGAAGCAGGTATCTGACTATTAGAACCAGGATTTGGTGGTGAAATCGCACCGGATGGAATTCCTGATTTATAACTTGGGATGACGGAAAAAATAGAAGTTGGTGACATTCCAACTAAACTTGGGGTCCTAGACCTTCCAATCATCTTGGAAGGAGATGTGAGCCCATCAGTTGGACTTGGTGATTTTGATGAAAAACTAAGCCTTGAACCCTGTCTTGTGGGGGCTTTAGGTAAATGAGAAGATGCTGGAATCTTTATATTTATTGCTTTTTGACAATCGGATTTCATATTCTCGATAAGCTTTAAGATACGCTCATATATGATTTCTTCTTCTTTGTTATTAATCGATATTCCATCCGACATCTCTAAACTATCATTATCGTCTTTTGAGTTCAAACACTCCTTTTTCTCTATACCATCCTCCACTTTTGAAGGAATAACGTTCTTTTCAGAAACTTTCATATGTGCTATAGTTTGTCTCAATTTAACACATTCTTCGTTTGATTCCAATAAGGAAGCCTCTAGTTCTGCGACTCGTTTTTCTAAAGCAGCCGACGAGGCCCTCAACAACTGATTCTCTACTTCTACCACACGATGCTCTAAAGAGCTCAACCTTTTTAGTTCTTTCTCATCCTTTGGTGGGTGTTCAAAAAGTGTGTGAACCATATTTAAGAAATAAATATAAAATATCTATTTTTATGTATGAGTGGGAGTCTTTTATTTTATTTTATTTTTTGAAATGGAGAATTACAAGTATATGTATTTACAATATAGATAGTCAAAGTGAAGAATATTCGTGAGTGAGTTTGCCGCGAAGGTCTACAACGCGAGTCAGCTCGTTGTGTTTGAGTTTTTATTTGGAGTTTAAGTGCACTGCACAAGTTACGCACAGTAAGTGGCGACGGGAAAAGTTCCCCTACTTGGTGTAGCTGATAACTTCTTTGTTTTTTTTTGTTCCGAATAGGTCACATGAAGCTGCTAATGCATCTACAATGAGGCACAAGATATAAAAAACTTTCGTTAAAAGCTTCCTTACTGTAAAGCAAGCCACTAATCCAATTCTATCAATTTTTTTTTTTTAATTTAAAAAGATCTTTTTTTTTGTGTACCTTACTTAATTCAAGAGTCGATAATCGGAAGTCGAACGAACATTCCTTCCTCTTTCGCTCGATGGTTTCACAATAAATTATTAATTTATATTTGTTCAATAAAGGGATCAATTATAGGTAAATTGCTTTATTTTTATTTTTATTTTTATATTACACTTGTACATTCTTATTAAGTATTTTTTTTTGCCCCACACTTGAAACAAAAAGAAAATGAAGCTTAAATATTTGGGCTATTTTTAATTTATTCAACTTGCGTTGGTAAATTTCAGTAAAACCGTAAATGGTAGTAATTAATGTAAAGTTTATAATGTAGTGAACTATTAATCCATTATTGGCGAAATATTAAAAAATACTCTTAAATTACTAATAATCTTTAGTTCATTTTGTATTACAAATAACGTACTAACTCATAATCAGTTAGGTTCTAATTAGGACTTGTATCAAGAATTTTTAAGATGATAATTCCAAATTCGGCTCTGTACGACTCCGAAATTTTGTCTGAGCTCACCCAACAACACAGGCTGAAAATATAATTTATGATGGATCACTCCTAATCTGTGATAGATTCTGCAGATTAAAAAGTGTTCACATGTGATGTGGGCGTTCCTGGCATTTGTCGTTCTTGTACCACCATTTGTTAAAGGTAAAGTCTTACTAACCAAAAATTTTATTGGGGCAATTACCTTTTCACAAAACAATTGGCTTTTTTATGTATTAAGAAAATGCAACGAATTCAGGAAGAAGAGATTCACACTGGACATACTCCTCCTCCTCCTTACACTTTGGTCGATCAGCAGTATCCTGCTAATAGTAATAATAACAATAATAATAACAATAGTAGTTGTAATCATCATCCGGTAAGATATATATATATATAAGTGTAGGTATGATAAATACGCGTCTTTTCTATAGGATTAAACAACTTTTTTAATCATCATCTTGTCCACGCGCAAACCCTGCTTCCGTTTTTTGAACTCCGTTTTTTTTATTCGTGTCATGTCGTCTTTTAACAAGACTCAACAACAGTATCACTCTCAAAACCCTTACCCGGCTACTGTCATTTCTTCAGAAGCCGATTTTCGTCTTGCTCAGAAGCTTCAAGATGAGGAATACGCTCGTTGGGTAGAGTCAAACCCGCAGCAAGAGCCCGGCCTAAATCGTGCGGGTGAATCATCCGTCGGCCCTCATCTACCAAGAGCCCCAATGCCACCAATACCTGAACATTATCAATATAATCATCATCAACAACTTCAAAATAGTCCAACATACCAATCTCCCATAGTTTACGCTTCTCCAAATCAACCTCCTTTACCTTATTCTCAAACTTCTCCATATGCAAGTAATGGAACAAGTAGTGGGGTCAATAATCAACCATATTATGGGAGTTTGAATCAGGGTAAACTATTCACGTCAGATATTGTTTTGATCTATTTTTATTTTTTACATTCTAATTATCTTTATTTTCAATTTTTTTTTTTTTGTTTTAGGATATTATTCATCACAATCACACCCATTTTATAACGCGCCCTATCAACAAATCCCTCAGCAAAATTTACCGTATCGAAGTAATGAAGAAGAAGAGGATAATTCTAGTTGTTTTACTGGATTGTATGATCAATTTTTTATTTTTTCAATTTGTGTGATAATAGTTTTTTATTTTTTAAAATATTATGATTTTTAAGAAAGATCATTTTTTCCGAATTGGGGGTTGAGGAAAATGTGGGGGATCGGAAAGAAAATTATGGCTGGCCAAAATCTCACAATCATTATCTCTCTTTTTTTTTTCTTCTATTTTTTTAATCTTCCCGATTGGGGTGGGATTTTGAAATCAATCATAGTGCTCTAGCGTCGCTCTTGTGCTATTGTTTCTCGTTATACGATGAATAAGGAGAAATCAAATCCGGATAATTAAAGAAATCAATAGATTTAAAAAAAAAATTTTTTTTATTTAATTTTTTCTTAATTTATTTTGTACCCGAAAAAAAAAAAGAGAGATCGAACCTCCACCCAGTTCCTCACGGTGTACATATATGACTTAAATATCATAATATATTATCAGAAGAATTATAAATTCAATTAGAAAATTATTTAATACTCGGGAAGTATTTTTTTTTTTTTTTTTAAAAAATATACATCAATTCTTTCATTTCAATTTTTTTTCTTTTTTCATTTTTTTTTTTTTTTTTTTTTTGGTCAAAAAAAACCTCCTTTTTTTTTTAATTGTTAATGAATGAATGTATTTGAATAGGTAGTATATGATTTTTGGAGATGTAAGTGGGATGAGAAAGTAATATATAATAATATAATATATATAATATATATTAATTTTTTTTAATAAATTTTTGATGCAGATTTTCAAATAATGAAAAAAAATGATTATGCATGAGTTTGTGCACTTTCGGAGAAATACAAGTATTTCGAATATAAATTAGTTATTTTTGAAAAAAGCAATTGACATTATCGCCACTAGCATAAAATTTTCTGAATTGATTTGCCACATAAATTAAAGAAAGTAAATTAACATGTAACGAACATTTAAGGAAATAGTGATTGTTTCCGATGCATTAATGACACGATTTATTTGTTACAGGAAACAGAGTTTTATTTTCTGTATAAATTTTTAATAACATAAATAATTTCATATGAATTGGACTCTTTTCATGCAACATTACATTGATAATTAAGGGTCAAAAAAGATGATCGGTTGAACATCATATCATTTTATTACTAATAAATGATTCGATTTACGATAGTGAATTTTAATGAGAACTAAAAAAGAAATAGATTGAACAATATGAAATTATTTGAATGTGTTCCATTACCTATTTACTAAACCTACTCGGTCTCAACATTTATGCATATGTAAATGTAATGTAGAAAAAAAAAGAGTTTTTTACCTTTGAATCGAACATCGAACATATCATGGAACATTATATTTTTAAATAAATAAATATTTATTCTTTGATTCTTTTTTTAAAAGGTTCTTTCAGTTCACTTGCTAATTCTATTTATAATGTTGCCTTTTAGGCTTCAAGTTAAATGTGGCATGGGAAAAAAATGGGTTAAACTTTTTCAAGAACTAATTATGCTTTGTTAATAAATAGTCGGGAATCAGTAACATTTGGTTAAAATATAACTATAAAAAATTATTATTTAAATTTAAATAATTGTAGGATCAGGTGAGTTTTTTTAATAATAAAATAAATAAAAAAAAAAAATTTTTAAGGATTTTTTTTTTTAATACTCGTATTACTTATAATTCTTTATTATTTTTAATATGGATTAGATTCGATTAAATTGATTTTTCCTCTCCTATTAAAACGTCCTAAAATATCATAACCATTAAAAAATCTACGTTTAATTTTTAAAATATCACATGACATCCCTAATGTAGCCCCCTTCCCCTTTAACACATTCCCAAATTAAATTATGAGGTGTAAATACTTTATCATCAAAACAAAAGAGTCACAAGAAAGGTTGATGTTGTTCATTTAACTCAAACAGGATATCTCATTTAATTAAGGGAGTCAATAGCATATGTTAATTTTGACAAATAAAGAATTTCTGGCGAAAATGTCTGTGAGTCGACATATGTTTCACACACGTCCGTTCGTCAACTCCCGTTCAACTGTGAAAATCCTGTTTTCAATAGTAATATTGATCTCTTTTTTAGTTTAGCATACAAAAAAGTTTTTAAGTTTAGGTTATCGATTGAATCGCGGGGGGGGGGGGGGGGGGAAGAAAATTTTTTTTTTTTAAAAAAAAGTTTCCTTTTAACAATAAAAAGGTCTGAATTGAATGAAAGAGGGATCTTTTTTTTATTTTAAAAAAAAAATGATGTAATATTTGGTTTGGTTATTGTATAACAATTATAGTAATTTAACAAATTTGGTATGACGTTCCCGAATTTATTTTTGAAAAAAAAAAAAAAAGAGTTTTAGGCCTAAAAACCCTTTAGCCAATTGCCTAAAAGATAAATTTATTTTTTTTTCTATTGACAAAAAGAGATGAGATCCGTAATTGTACACAAAAACAAATAAACCACGGACGGATCCCAAAAAAAAAAAAAAAAAAAACTATGAAATAAATTCACGTGATAAGTATTTTTGTTTTTTGAACACGCGATATTTAAAAATGCGAAAACGTGTGTTAAGTTAAAAAGTGTCGCAGTTTCGATTTTTTTTCTCCACAAAACAAAATCATGGCGATTTTCTGGTTTACTAGCTCTTACATCAAACAAACAAGTAATGAACATATCTCACCATCAAAGAAAAAAAAAAAAAAGAAGGGCATAAAATACGGCAAAGTGCCTGTCCTACGCCTTTTTGACATATATAGAATAAATTGATAAGTTCATCATTAAGTATACTAATTATAGTCATTCTATAAATTATTAATAAGAAAAAAAATTACTTTGATTTCATTCGTTCATTGTTACTTATAGTGTTCATTCAACTTTACTCTCTAGCCCAATTAAAATTTGGTTCGACAAATCATAAACAAGAAGCAAGAGAAAAAAAAAAGAAAAAAAAAGAAAAAAAAAGCAATTGCGGCGATGCAAGTCCAATATGCATAAGGCAATTGTGCATATCTGAAAGTTCATTTTTGATATCAAAGTACGCAAAAGGAAAGGTTGAAAATATTATGATTCAACATTTTTTTATTCAGGTTGGGGATGATTTATAATAGATGGCCAGTGCGTGGCTCAATGATGGCTTGACATAAAAGAATTAACATTAGGTGTGTAGGTTAGTAATAAATAATATATTTTGAACCCAGCTTATGACCAGAAAACTTTCCATTCCGCGGTACCAATGTGATTTAACGATCTATGTAGATTGGCTTCAACGTTTTCAAAAGCAGTTTGCAGAATTTGCAACGAATCACCATGACTAACAAGCACCACCACTTTTAAAAGTTCGGATTGTTGTTCAATCTCGCGAATCACATCGCACATACGTGATCTGACTTGCTCACAAGATTCAACGCCAATTTCTTTGTATTCATTCTTGTTTGATGGCGTGGTGATGGATTCATCGATTGCCCACACTTTAGAATAAGACTCATGATCTGATCTTAATTCAAATATGCCAAAATCTCGTTCTCTTAAATCATCATGTACAATGACCTCTGGATGAACCATTACATCTACAATAGGTCCATTATTCAATAATTCCTTGAGCAGAATATTCGCAGTTTCAACAGTACGAAGGAATGGGGAAGAATAGATTTTAATGTGAAATTTTTTAGACAAAGAAAACCGATTTTGTGATGGATTGTTGAACCCTTCATTGTTCCTATCATCTCCTCTTTTCTTTTGGTGATGTTCTGATGGGAAATTGTTGTAAAGATAATTCAACATATTTTGTGATGCCTGTAATGATGACAATGTGGCATTATTAATAATTCCATTCTGTATATCTTTTTCAGATTAGAGTTGATAATTAAGCGAATTAAACAAGCTTTAAAGTTTTTTTTTTTTTTTCCTTAATTAGAAGAATGTTTGTCGTAATTTCCATTGTGTTGTTTAACAAGAAAAAAATTTTTTTTTTTTTTTTTTTTTTTTTTTGAGATTTTACTTGCATAGATGTACAAAAAAATACTTTAATTATTTTTGTTGTTTATGTTTTCTTCTTGCATTGTATGAAATTTGGTTGAAATACAGTATTTTTATATTTATTAAATTATACAATGCACACTACTATGCGCATTTAGCACATAATGCCGTAAGAAACTTCCATTTCGATTCAATGATTAATGCCAATTTTTTCTTAACAATAAACCCATTTATGAATTTATTCATTTTCTTAATGACAAAAGTTTTTTTCATTGATACTTACATATTTAACTTGTTCCTTACCTAGTTGCGTTAATCCCCATCCATTGCCTTCACTCGAGAAGGAGGCGGGAGACGGAGGTCCTACTCCCGAAGATGGTATCCCATTATCCGGATGTGATACTACTATTTTAGCACTATTAGCTTTCGATTGTCCATGTCTGAAAAGAATGTAATGATTATTTAATTGTTCTAAGGAAAGTTTTGTTGGGGATGAATTCATGGCTAAATTAACAAATTGGTTATTATGGGGGAAAAACCTATTCGTTTCACGGTATAAAAATAATTTGATAGTTTATCATAACTTGATAAAGTATGATAAAATTCAAGGGTTAAACTTTAAAAAATTTAAAAAAAGAATTTTTTTTTTTTTTGTTTTTTATTGATAAAGGTTTTTTTAAAATATATTGTTGTATTTTAAAAATTTTCCGAAATTTATAAAAATTTAGTACCCAAAACGGTTTTTTTTTTTCATACAAGCCTAAAAGCTTTTCTTGGTAAAGTGGCACAATTTGTTTTTGTTTAATCAATGGCTAAAAAACGATTAACTAAAAATGTATCACAAAAATGTGCGAAATGACAAACAAGTGAACTATTTTAAGTAAATATGAATAATTTCAAAATTTTTTAACCGCGAATTCTTTTTATGTAAAGTTGGGTGTTTTTTTTTCACTTTGATGATTTTATTTTGAATGGTAAAAAATTTTTTTCTTTGAGATTCCTTTGATACTTCATTGTTGTCATGCATGAATCTTCGATTTCGTGTGGTTGAAATTGCACTTGCACGCAATGTTTTGTTTTGATTTCAAATGTTTAAAAAAAGGAAAACGCCAAGGAGGTTAACCATTTTCGTGATTTGCCAATATAAAATCCTGTTTCATTTCCTGTCAGATGAGGTACCTATTTTTATGAAGAGATCTCTTTTAATACATGTTCTTTTTTGAATCAGAAAGAAGGAATTGCCAAATCGTACATTGATTTCGCGTAATTCTTTTTCCTCTTTGTTTACCAAGGTTCCGTTAACAGGGTTTCTCATTGCTATTTTTTTTTTTTATTTACATATAATATGTTGTGAATGATTTCCGATTATTTGTAATACGGAATAAATAATAAACAAACCTGCATCGAACCATAAATTCCTGTTGAACTTCATGTCCAAAAACCAAGATTTGAAATTGGGCTTGTTTTGTAAAAAAAAAAAAAAAAAAAAAGTATCTTTTTAAGTAATAAATTATATGAAGTGAGATTAAAATGTAAAAAAAAGACGAAGATTGCTGCGTCAAGTCCCATTTTTGAGGCGGAAATTATGATTTGAAACAACTGTGAAAATTTCCGGACCCCTTAATTGCTCGGATTTTCTTGTAAAATGGATGCAGGGGGGTGTTAAAAAATTTTTGACGTTACTTCAATGCAACACGCATATTATACTATACGTACGAGATGGATTACTACGAATGTCCTTTTTTTTTTAAAAAAAAAAAAAAAAAAAAAAAAGGTAACCCTAATAATGAATGATGATGGGAGATGAATATTTATTTTTTATTGCTTTGAATATAACGAAATCAATCTAGAAGCTTATAAAATTCCTGAAAGGTATGATATTTGGCAGATTTACAATCTGTTGTTATTATTTTTATTTAATCTTATCTTCATGATGACAGATTTAGATTTTCAATTGTTTCTCGAATTATTGTTCTTTCACTCAACAAAAAAAAAGGTTACTCTTGAATTGAAATATTTATCCGTGGTTTTACAAACATGAAAAGCGGGCACAAAAGAAGAGTAGAACGAAACTAGGACAATTAGGTTTAAAAATAATTGACATTGTCAATAAAAATTTTAGGTTTTTTTTTTTTTTTTTTTTAAACTTTTAGGCTCGTGACTTTTCTTTGGGGTAAAAGTTGATAAATAATTAAAATAATTTGTCCTTATAAATATCATGTTTTCACGAATAAAGGTAAATTAAACCAAATCTGAGCATT